TTAACTTAATCTTACAGTCAAATCCTCAAAAATTTCTTTAAATATACAGCTTTGCATTGTATCACCGATTTTATTTAGATTCAGTGCATCATCGATTGCATTTAGAATCAGATATGTAAATTTCGTTCTTTAGCATTCAATTTGGTATAATTTAGTATTATACTTCAGGCATTATTATTACGCATTTATTATTACACGGTGACGTACCAATTGGATACTGCTTGCCCTGGCGTTTTTAAATGGGTCAAATGAATGTCTTTTAACGAGGATATCGCTTACTACTTTTTCCTTTCTATAAGGAAGGAAACATTCTTCTTACTCATGTATGCTACCGAACATGGAAATAATATACGAAACGACGTTACCGCTTTTTAGGAACCGCGCAGGCAAGTTTTTATAAAATTCGTGGATAGTCAATTGATTTCATATTGACACTACCAGCTTAAAGCTGGTATACGGTACTGAAAGCTTAAGCAATGTCCGACGAGTTTGTGCACCGTTGTGAAATTTCCTACGTGGTTTCGAATTATTCAACTATGGTCCAGCGTATGAAAATTCTCTGCTTAAATTCTACGGCAGTTTTAACTGGGAATGCTGCATAAGGCGCGTTGTGCTTTATACATAATTTAAAAGTGAATGCATCAACATGCTTTACAACTTCCGCTATTAATCATTTGGAATAGGGATGACTCCAGTTACGTGAATAGAAGTATTATATCATTTTGCAATTTTATTATTCTTCTGTTTGTGAAAATAATAAAAAGCTGTAAGTTTTCTGGAATTTAGATTTGATACGAGATAATATTTATTGATAAAGTAATAATAATAAGATTTTATACTAATTTTGAAATGATATTTGATTTGTTTCTAGAAAGCATTAAAAAATATGAAGAATACACATGTCAGTTCGATCTTCCCATACTTGCTTTTGCTTATTTTCGGAAAGTTAGTGGTAAAAAGTGCAAAATGTAAAATATTTTGAATAAAAAAAATTTTTAATTTTTTTTTTATTGTTTTAGGAAATATTTCAGGATGTATAAATGCAATATAACAGATGCATGGAAAGCTTAAAAACCAGTCAAAAAAATGTAACCTCAATAAAGTTTAGCATTATTTACTCGATGGTACGTTTACATTCTGCAGGTGAAATTTTGAAGAAAACTTTACTTTTGTGTGAGGTAGATCAATGTCGTTGCCTTTGGAAGTAAGTTTTTATTATAACGCCATAATATAGTTAAACTTTAACTGATATTAAAATAATGTTAATCACAATGTAGATATACTTCGAGGGTTTGTCTGCAACTCATTAAGAAAGCTGAGACTTTCACTGAGAAATTCAGCAGTAACGGGAAATATTATCAAACTTGGAGCATTCTTTTATACTTTATTTGCTGTCTTAACAGTAATGTCATTTGAAATCCCTTTATCAGAACTTAAACTGAAACGGATTACTTTAATTCACCCTCTTTAAATTCCTGGAATGTATGAATTTAGTTTTCGCTTCTTCAATAAAATGTTATGCATTATGTTAAAATAGCTCTATGTTAGCTTTCGTAGGCAGTAAGAGGTATTTTAAGCCTCTTGTTTAGAATGACATCATGAAAACTATATTCATTGCCAGTTCTTTCTATTATGAATTAATGCTTCTTAATTCTATATAAATCTAAACTATTCATATGAAAAGTTTTTTTTTTCCTAACATCATTAATTTTAAAAATATGATGATTCAAAATATGATGATTATCTGATATCCGTGTGCATCCTCTCATAGTATATGTGCTTATCACGCCCAGTTAGCAACTGGAAGACCTGTGCTTCGGACCACTGTGAAAGCATACTTGATTTCTCGCAGTTTTCTGACTCCGAAAATATATAACATTTACTTACAGTGGCTTCCCGAACCAAAATAATTTCCACCTGGATTTCGTCGACTAATGCCCAACGCCTTTCCCCAATTGCCCTTTAAGTCCGGAAGAAAGCGAAGACCTGTTGCATGCCTTCATACATGCGCTTGTGAAATAAGTGCCTAGCGCGTGAAACTAACAAATGGGATATTCGGGTTTGAAAATTATGGACAAAAGTGTATGTATGACTGACTGAGGAAAGAACTTCGTTTCATTTTTAATCAGAAATTAATCTGCCAGCCTTTGGATGTCTGTAATAGCTGTTAACTTGCTAACTTTCAGTTCTGTTTGCGACTTCAGAGAGCTTCAATTCTTACGGAAAACTTGATTTAAAATTAAATTATTTTATTAGAAATTAGAATAGAGTGAAACCCAGCCAGTTTCTATGTTGGTTAATTTCTATATGGTTTTGTAAATAGTTACGTGACACTTTCTAATAGGTAGATTTAAGGAAAAATAAGTTGATTAGATAGCAGGTGAGCTTTCTCGCAAGTAAGTAATTATTTGGCTTTCTCTGTGGCTGCTTATGAGTTGCTAAGTATAGATAAACTTAGTTTCTATGCCCTAAAAAAATTATTATTGAAGGAAGTATAACAAAATTTGGACCCTTGTTCTAAGACTAGTGATTACAGTACGATCATATAATTTAAGTTTATAAATAGTTAATAATTGTTTATGTTCTAAGTTTGTAAACCGAATGGAATTCCTAACAAAATTTTAATTATTTTGTTTTTCTTAACTAAGCTTATTTCAAAATAACTTTTATTGTCTAAAATAATAATTTTCTAAAACTCGGTGAATATATATGTAAGCAAGAAGAAGCAAGTCGCTATAAACATACTACAACAATTTAACAATAGAAATCTTCTAAAAATACTATAGAATAACAGTTGTTATATATCACCATTGTTCGGCATACTAATAAATAAAAGTCGCAAAACGTAGCTTACCAAGACGGCGACGATACGATGACAGTGGAATTTATTTTCTGATCAAGATTCAGCTCTCTTGTAACTTTGCTGAGGATGATCAAAGATTTTATATAATACATGCAGACGTGCTTTTTATCTATAATTACCTTATATATTTTTCGTTAAGTAGTTATCAATTCGGGTCACGCATCAGGTGTAGCTATTCTTTGCTTAATCATTTCAGCATATGTTTCGCTGATTCCGTTTTAAACGAAGTGAAAGTAATTATAATATTATTTTTTGCATGACCCTAGTTAACTTTCCCTTAAAATATCTGAATGGGAATATTTGATAATTTTCTACAAGATTTTTCTTTTAGCTCATGATAGTTTATTTAAAACATTACTCCTCTGGACTGTTTTTACAACATTTAAAAATTCTAAATGATGTGAATGTTACTGCTTTTTCTATTGCAATAATTACAATAGACTAATGCTGTCCGTGAACTTCTTATATAAAATGTTTTATTAGATATTTTAAACTAATACAGAATTTCCTCGCCTCCTTTCTTCAACTAATTTTACTGTCTGAAAATCCAAACGGGAAAATTATGCGTGTAATTTATTCTCCGATGGCCACTGTTACAGAAAGAAAATAACAAATGAGAAATAGTTATGGATAAGTTATTGGTAGTTACCACAATATTATTTGTTTAAGAGAAAACTACATTCCGATAAACATGCTAGTAATACTAGCATTACAATATCTAATAAGATGTATTCCTTTCTAATTCCCTATATCTTGAATCTCGTCCTTTCCTACCGTTGCCCACTGCTACCGTCTAGGCTCCAAATCATTTAGTGCTGCTGCAACTGTCATCTGCGTCGCCTACTACCGCTGTAATCCTTCTCTAATTATTGATCCTTGATGTAACAAACTCGGATAAGAGTATTTGCTTCCGTTATAAGTTATTTTTATTAAAATTCTGAGATCATTAATATCCGCTAGCGTATTTCACCTATATTCAATTTTAGTCGATTGAATTTGAACAAAAAATTTATCAGAAATCAATAAAACAATTCTAAAAATAATCGATGCTCTACGGTCACGTTTAATCGATCATAATCGAAATTAGTTGAAACAGTTGATACAAATTCAACTTTGTATATTGTTATTTCAAAACAAATTAGAAATCGATGAAATATGTGTTTTTAATTTTATTTTCTCCCCAACTTTTGATATTAGAATCTTGAGATGTTCATTTCCAATTGAGCTCACATTCCTTCAAAAATTTCTTGCCGTTATATGTCCATTCCTTTCTGTCTGTGCATGCCTACATATTAGACTGATAGGATAGGCAAAAATTTCACAAATAAAAAATCAAAGAAACAGAAATTTTTAAATTTCTAAAATATTCACAAAGGTCACTCGATTCACTCTGAATGTCTGTTTCACTTTTAAAACTGTTGCCACCAAATATTATCGCCCTGTATTATATTTAAAGAAATTCACTAATGAATAATCTGCGTAAATGTATGTATATTTCCCGCATTGTGATAAAACAATGGTCCTTAGAGCCATCAAATTTTGAATGATGTAATCCTACTGCGAATATGGGCATATGGAATCCCAAATTTGAAATTTGGAATTTGTTTTATTATCAATTTCCTATTTTGTAAAACTTTAACAAATTTTTGATTAACAAACTCAAAGATTTCAAAGCGAACAATGGAAACGCTGTACAGAAAAAAACATTTTTATCTCCAGCGCGTGAGTCTCTATATCGGAAATTCTAAAGATATGCTCAATTTAAAATTATTTTGCGATATTGCTCTTGAACGGAATTTTATGGTTTAAGTGCGAAGAACACGATATTTAATGAAATGTTAAAAAAACGCTCCTTTGGACGTAATTTAAAATCTGAAACCTTTCAGATTTTCTTTTTTTATACATTTTTTAAAATTTTGAATGAATTAAAACTTTTTGAGTCATGTTATCGCTTTCTGTTGCAGCAATCCTTCAAATATGATTAATATTTCACCTGATTTTAAACCATCGATATCAGTAGATAAGGCGAACTTAAGCCATCGCCGCCTCGCAAAATTTCCAGACTCAAGGATACCTCGATCAGCCGCTAATGCTGACTAAATCATTTTATTTACAAACACAAACAGTCAATCCTTACCTGGTATAAATCTCACCCATTCAGTATGTTGAATTCCATAACATCATACTAGACGTGGCTCTAGAAAAACATAGAAAAGCATACATGAAGACTTTACAAAATCACAAATAAAGAAATTTTGTGCAATATATATAGCCACATGAAATCAATCATAGGTGTATAATGAAAAATGTGTTACATTCCTATAACTGATTTTAAATTATTATACACATATCTGTCAGTATTTCTGTATGTGTATATACGCTTTGCTATGTTTACTATAGACGTAAGATTTATTTTCGAGTTATAGTTTAAATATTAGAATAACTTATTTTAACAGTTTTTTCTGGTTTTGATAGATATAGTTTAAATCTTGAAATAGTCAGTGACAATTTTAAACTCATCCTGTTGCTGATATTTGAGAAAAATCTATTGACTCGCAATTGGCCCACCAGCGGGCGAGTGGTAAAATCGCTGAGCACTGGTAGTTCCGATTTCGGTTCAGCTCCAGGTGAATGAGCTGGTTGCATGGGCGTTTTCGTTGGCCTTTTTCCATCAGTAACGTGGAAATGAGCCAGTTTTGCTTAGAATGTCCTCCACGAAGGCATCCCTTCCCTTAAGTAGGTAGCTCTAATGTGCTTTGCCATAATCAGCTTAATCAGCTCAAAAGCAATTGATTGTGAATTAAAAGCTTGGGAAGAGCAGAGAATAAAAAAAAAAAAATTCAAAGCAAAATTTGAAATTTTTTTATTATTATTATATGACTGCTTATGAAAAGTTTTATTATGCAATCGAATGAGATTTTCTTAATATTCCACTTGTTCATTATTCTCATTTATAGATCTATTTAAGTCTATATTTGAAACTGAAGTTCCAAGCTACATGTTAAAGTGCTTCTAGTTTTTATATTTTGAATTCAATGTCACTTAAGCTCCTATAATGCTTTTATTTATTTATTTATTTATTTTATTTATTTTTATTTTTATTTTTTATTTATTTTTATTTTATTTTATTTTATTTTATTTTATTTATTTATTATTTATTTATTTATTTATTTATTTTTTTTCTTTCGCTTAATGAGAGGTGTTTCATTCGTAAGTTTCGTACAAGATAATTTCCTCATTTCAATTAGAATTTCGCTTTCAAAATCTTCGATTCTTCTTTCAAGACAAATGAGCGTTCCTTTTTATCAAATACTATATTTAAAACTGAAATGTGGAATAAGAATTATTAAGTTATAAAATCGGTTCTTTTCAAACAATAAAAGAACAACAGTATATAAATGAAGATGCTTAAGAAAGGCAGCTCACTTCCTAAATATATTTATTTTCGTACAAAATGCTATTAATATTTTATTGTTAAATGCAAATAAGTTGAGAATATGTTTATTGTCTTTTCATTAATTTAAAAATATAATAATAATTTTCTTTTGAATCGAAGATTTACGCCTGATTTAAACTGTTACGTATCACATGGAAATCAAATATTCGAGTGTAAATAATGTTGGTTCTAGAAGAAAGAAAACTTTCTGGCAAAGTCTTAAAATAAAATGTCTTATTACCTATAATGCATTCTTTAGAGCATATAATTTTTCGATACAATACATCATATTAGCTTACTTTTGAAATCTTATAAAACGAGGAATACATTAAGAGTGTCAAAAGGTATGCATTACTTATTGAGGGAAAAGGGGAACCTGTCAAAATTTATGAAAGAAAAGAAACAGGAAATCTGTAATTTACAGTTTTGAAATCTAAGAAAGAGAAAAACGCCATTTCAAAAACATGATTGCCATTACGTTTGTTTACATTTGATTTCTCAGGCTTAATTCAGAATCAGCGTAAATGATAATAAAGTAACAAATTCAGATATCGTAACAGCAGTTATTTATGATAAAATACAAAAATAAATAAGAAGTTAAATTCAGCCCATTACCTAAAAAGTTACTAGGAATTTTTCCTTATAACCCTTTAAGGAGTGATTTTTCACCAATTAACGGGTAATATTATATATCGGTAAAATGAAATTCATTGATTTGACGGAGCATCCTAAACTGACGAAAAACGAAGTGAATCTAAAAACCAACAGTTACCAATGGCGCACCTTGTGATGTGTTGCCGTGGTGCGAAGACTTTTAATTTATTTTCCACACGCTTTCGGTTAAAAAAGATTCTCAGAATGTAGCGATTCGAAAAAGTATAAGTTAGTTAACTTTTCTTTCAGATTTATCTGTCTGTAAGTAATTAAAAAACTGAACTATTTAGAAACAATGAAGTCTTTTACTAATAATTTAAATCTTTTAATAATCTATTGAATTGATATAAGTTGAAACAAATTTAATTTTTAATATAGCCACTGATAAATTTTTAACATTTATAGCTTTATTGTAATTAATAAAAGATATTTCTAACGTAATATGTTATGTAAGTGGTGCGTAATAGTTTCTTTAAAGGTTTCTATAATAAAAATAGACTTCTTTTCCTAATTTTATATTTGCCTATTATTAGGAAATTTTGTGGTATTAAGCGATCAAGTAATTGTTTTTTTGAAACGAAAAGAAAACGTAAAAGAATTTTAAAATTTGTAAACAAATATTAAATATAATTTCCTAAACAGATTTAATACTTTGTAGAAAAATTACATATGATACTTCTTATTAAAATTGAGTGTTATTTCTTACATTTAAGTTCAGTTAATTTATGGAATAAATGTCATATTTTAAGTGCTGTTTTATATAGCATTTATTTTTTTTTTATTTCCAATGGCTAGGCAAAAAATTACAAAGAACTAAAATCTTATAAACAGAGGTTACAAACAATAGAACTGAGAATAAAAAGACGAAACCATTAGCCAAAGTATTTCGTCTCTTCTGTAGGACAACGAAGAGCCCCACATCGAAGCAGGTGGTCCTGTCCATTTCTTCTCCAAAATCACCAAAGTGGGCAAATAGGATCACTTGAAATGCCTACGCGGTGCTGGTGGGCGGCAAGGCAATCATGTCCTGGAGACAGATGGAAAGCCACAATTGCATTCCGTCTTGGACTATCGTGAATAAGAGGACTTAACATTCTCCAACTTTTTAAGGCTGTATGAGTCTGAAGATCTAGGATATTAGACGTAAATAAGTTTTTTAAAAACAGTTTAATTCTCCAATAAGAAATGGCAGAATTAGAATGCTGTAGTAAGCTGGCACGTGTTTTTGCAAGAAAGTCCTCTTGTTCATTGCCCACAATGGCCTGGCACCCATTGGAGAGCGATGTGAGAGTTCTCAGGAATTCTTGACATTGCTAAGTTTCAGGTGTTAATGGGTGTTCAACATAGCTAATTGCTTGAATGGCTGCGTGAGAATCAGGAAAAATAACTGCCTTAGCAAACTTGTAATGGATAGCTAATAATTGCTTTAAGGCTGTGCAAATGACTACTACATCACCATCAAAGGAGGTACCAATGTATCCTGCTGGGGCGTAAAAAGAATAAAGTCTCAAAAACACACTAGCCCCAACTTTAAAATGGCAGCCAAACTTAAAACCCATCGGTAAAATTGTGCAGCCACTGGGTAGGTGGATATCTGCGCAATGGTCTCCAAAGCCAGACATTTCAAAACATTTCGCGCAACATCTCTCTTTCTATGGATGGTTTCCACTAGGTCTAGCCTTACTTCGAAATTAATCACCTCCAAACAGCTTTTGATTGTCAAGAGGGATTGTATATTACCTGGAATCGTAAGATCTTTCTTAATGTCCAGGACGTTTTGAATAAATCCATACTGAGTTTTTTAATTTCCTAAGCTTGACTACTTAGTCCCTCCAGTAGTGATCCGCCATCTGCAGTAGCTTTTCATCGAGAACCAAGGCCCTCATTTTCATAATATCCCAGAAGAGTTTATTTCCTGTTAACAATAAAATTGCATCGACATTGGTGGACACAGCTCTTGTAATACTATGTAAGTATAAACAAATCCGAATTCAGAAGTAACATTTCTAGAGTCTTTTACGAGAAACTATCTTAAAATAACGAAATATAACAATTAAAAAATTTTACCAGTTTTCATTAAAATTTAAAACGTAATTATTGAAAAAGTATAAATTATTTTTTTACAGGGTGGTCATAAAAAAACTTTGCTGGTATATGAATATCTAGCGGTCAATCCGCTCAACCAGAAGAAGCTATACGTTTTGAGATTGTGATGATATAAAATATCAGGCTCTCGCGATTACAGTTACAGTGGAAAAAATCGAAATTTTCAAATGGCAACACCACGTTTTCTATGCAAATTGATCAGCGCATTGAACACGTATGATAACTGCCGACGTAAAACATTTGCAGAGTAGAGGAGCAAAGGACCAATGACAGCATGCGGCAGGAGAGGAAAGAGGACTTGGATTGGAACTATAGATTTTCAACATGTACAACATTTCGAGATAGAGTCATCTCCCGTAACTTTGCAGTTTTGTGGCCACCGCAATCCCCGTAACCTCACTCTGATGGATTTCTGGTTCTGGGGTTATCTGAAGTCTAGGGTGTACACATATCCACGAGATTTGTCAGAATTGAAAGATGTCATGAAGCATAAAGTTATACAGATAAAGTTATACGGTATTAAATTCGTCATTGTCTACAATCTTCAGTATACAACGCGTTATCATCTGCGAAGGTAGGCATGTTAAAAACTTTGTAATCCCAATAATATTTTTTCCCGTCTCCTCTTTCGTGTTATTATTGGTCCTTTACATTGCTCTTCTTTGCAAATGTTTTACTCCGGGAATTTTTGTCGCATGTGTATCGTTCTAACGCCATTTATGGTTTTCTAGGGCGCTGATCAATTCGCGCAGGAAAAAGGTGAATGTTGCCATACAAAAATTTTAACTTTTTTTACTGTTACCGAAACCGTGAGAGCTGTAGTGTTTTGAATTATCGCAATCTCGAGTACATACCTATCTAAAATTTCATTTCGATTGGTTGAGCGGATAGTTCGCTAGAAGTTAATACAGCGGAGAATTTTTTATGACCCTCCTGTGCATAGTTAACATACCAGTAGAGCCACAGCCACGACAAGCACAAAATTTTAAGTACACGGCAGTTTTTCTTAAGATCATATGCAAATTTCCCAATAATGTTTCTTTTACATGCAACGAATTAAATGTAAAACGAAAACTTGTGGGTTAAATTATGTGTATAGAACTTTATTAAAATTAAGAAATTATTGCCATAAAAATATTTATACCGTTTGTAAAAAACAGACAGGACCAAATAAGTGAGAAACGGTTTTAAACGTTACTTTCCTTGCAGTTTGTTTTTTAAATTGCGTTATTTCTAATCATGAAGTATTTTTCTGTTAACTGCAGCATGTTTTACATTGCACTGTTCATTGCACGAATATTTTAAAATACCGTACCCATGATAACATTCTTGTTCACCTTTACAAAAGATGAGACCTGTCGCTGTTGTGACAGTATTTGAAACATTCAGGATTAAAATTAAATATATTATATAGCTACTGATTTCAGTGTAATTAAGAAGTCAATTAAGTCAAAAGATCCAACTGAGTCACATGATATATGAAAATACGGGTTAAATAGATGGAATTTTTACAACTATATTTTAAGAGTGTGTAACACGCATAGTCAAAAAAGTGCCCCAAAAAAGGATAATATTCTTATACTTACTGGTAAGCATATTTTAATCTAATGATGCCATTTTTCTCAAAATGTGGATTTTAAGCTCATTGTTTTAAATTATATCTCAGCTTTGAAAAAAACTACTTGCGTTTTCTCTTCTGTTATTCTTGAATCATATGCGATACTACGCTGGTATAGTACATTTCAATGTTTCATCATCACTGAAATTTGAAGTAATATACCAGAATGCGTTACTTCTATATATACGAGACAGCTAAAGAGAGACAATGCATTACAAATGCATGATGTAGAATGCTGCTTAATTTATTATCCGTTTATTTAATCTTAGTAATGTCTTATTAGGCGTAACGTATCTATTACATTTATAAATGTAATACGAATACTCAGTTATGTAGGAAGTTCGAGAAAGGTGGCTGCAGACTTTTCTACTTAAATATGGATTTTTGATTTCTACTTATAATATAATATTCTCCTACAAAATAAGGTAGAAAGTTTTATAAAAAAAAAGTTTCACCACTGTAAATGGAAAATTGGCTTAATATAAAATTCATCGTTTTGACATTATCATTTTAGAGCAAAAGTTTCAATTAGTAAACTGCTCAATGCTAAAAAATTAAATACAACCGTTCCTCTCCTTAACGTGCAAAACTGACCGAGATGGGCATATTAATAGTTTCAATTTAATAACAAATGTTGTTTACCGAATAATTAGATTATTTCTTTCAGTCGCAACAGCGAATATAATTATTTCTTAAAAAAATTTAAAACTTCTTCTTATATTTTATCTTTTTCTCAAAAAAAAATTGTTTTAATAGAAACTAATCCTCTTTCTACAAAGCGAAACACTTACTTTTATCCTAAACCAGCCAAAGAACTCGGTTTACCTTCTATTTGAAGCTGAAGACAAGAGTAAGAAACACCTCTGATAACTATCCCTTACCTGTAAAAGAAGAAATCATGATGGATAAAAGCAGAAAGCAGGTTAAAAGCAGTAAAAAAGAGAATGGAAACAAAAAGGTAAAAGATTATTGGGGTGTGGCCAGTGGGCAAAAGTTTAAAGAACACCGGGAATAGTGAAATCTATTCTTCGAAGAATGAGCCCCTGACAACAAGAAGGATAAAGAAAGTACAGTAATAGTGTGAAACTTTAAATAATGACGAACTTAAACAGTTTTTAAAATTTTAGTTACTACTTTCCTCCTAATGATAACAGACCTATTTACATTCTGAAAACAATACTGTTACGAATTTGGTATTTAAAAAGCTAATGTTAGTTCAATTACAAATTAAATGATTTTATTTCTCGCGCAGTGCAGCGCGTGACGAATATTAAAAGAAAGCTAAGCCGTAAAATTGAAAATACAAGAGCGCGTGCATTAAATAAATAAATATCTCTTTTTGATTTCGAGAAAGTACTGGAAAATTCTAGCGCGTGATTTTAAAATCTTATAAAAGGAGGAAAACATCTCAGTTTGTAGTAGTTGCTTAGTTTGTTGTTGTTTAGAAAACTGCTCTTGTTGATTGTAGCGAATTCGCGGATTAGCGTTCTTTAGCTGTTTTTAATTGCGTTCTATTGGACATTTGAGTAGTTAATACTGTGAGATATTGTAATACTGCATGATAATTTGAGAAAATTTAAGCATTTTTGTTGTGATAATAATAAATTTTTTTTGTTCATTTTTCATCGGACTTGTGCATTCATTTCATAACGAACCCGTACGCACGCAACAATTTTTGGTGTCAGGAGTGGGGTTTGAATGCCAATAACAAGAGCGATGGAAGAGCAATTAAGGCAGTTAATATCAGCCTTTGCCTCATTTAAAGAAGAAATTAAAGAGGAAATGAAATTGGGCCAGGAATCCGTTAAGGAAGAAATGAAATTGGGCCAGGAATCCGTTAAGGAAGAAATGATATTGGGCCAGGAATCCGTTAAGGAAGAAATGAAATTGGGCCAGAAATCCGTTAAGGACGAAATGAAAGCCGTTCAAGCTGGTCAAGAAGAAATGAAAAGAGAAATTACTTGCATAATAGAAAATAAATTTGAAGCTATGGAAGGTAGAATTGACGCAGTTGAAAAATAAAGTTGGACATATTGAAGAAAAGTTTCTTCCGTAAAAGATCATATTGAAGAAAGAGTTTCTTCGGTGAAAGAAGAAATAGAAGAAAGAGTTTCTTCTGTAAAAGAACATATAGAAGGGAGAGTTTCTGCTGTGGAGGAACGAATTGAAGGAAGAGTTTGTGCCGTCCAACACCAAATCGAACAACAAATTGATGAGAGAGTTTCTGCAGTTGCCAAAGAAATGGATACGTTAAAGAAATTCGTAGCGTCGGCAGGGAGCAGGAGTGATGATTTTAAATTCTTACCAATGCCTGCTCGTCTACCTCTGAAGCTATCCACATATGATGGGAAGACCTCCTGGCAGGTGTATAAGACACAATTTTCTATCGTGGCGGATGCGAATGGATGGGATTCCCTAGCTAAGGCCTGTCATCTCGCCGCTTCTCTAAGAGCCGACGCAGCGGATATCCTTCAGACTCTTCCCGAAAACAAAAGGTTAGATTTCGAAGCTCTGTCCGGCGCCTTGGAGTTGCGCTTTGGGGAGAAGTGTTTAAAAGACTACAGCAGGCTCCAATTAAAATCTCGTCAACAGAAGCCTACCGAAACACTTCAGGAGCTCGCCGCGGATGTTGAAAGGCTGTCCCATCTCGCCTTTTCGGAATGCCCGACAGAAACAAGGGAAATCCTGTCCTTGCAATACTTTATCGACGGCATCCGAGATACTGAAATAAATACAGAAAGCTCTACGAATGGCGGATGTAAAAGATTTAAAAAGTGCTCTAGTGTACGCCATGAAATTTGAGGCAGCCCAGCAAGCCACTCGTCGAGACCGCCACCCAGTCAGAGCTGCTCAAGTCCAGGAGCCAGGGGATCAAGCCACCGCTCGACTTGACGATTTAACTAGACAACTGAACGCCTTGAGACGGAATATTGGTGAGAAGAAGAAACCGACCGTTAAGTGCTGGAACTGCGGTGCTGAAGGACACATACGACGAAACTGCAAAACACCCCAGGGTACTGATGTTTAAGACCGCTTCTAACAAGCAGCAGGGAAACTAATTAGTGGCCATCTCGCGGGGCGGAGGTTGCCAGATAATGAAAAGCCCCCGTTTTAAAGCGCTTCAGATTTCTGCAGTGAGAGGCGGCAGTAATGGACTTTTCATAATAGGACATATTAATGGAGTTCCGTGCAATATGACTATAGATACAGGAGCCAACGTCACCATCATCCGAAAAGATTTGGCTCAACAACTAGGAAACAAACTTATCTGGACGCCGCCCTGCGTTACCCTCCAGACTGTGTCCGGTGAGAAGATCGACATCGACGGAAAAGTAAATGTTAACATCACGTTTGGAAGTGCCGCTTACCATCACACGGCATATGTAGCAGAGATCACTGATTCTTGCATACTCGGATTGGACTTTCTAAGGAAAATACAATTTTACTTGGATTTTAAAAATAACGAATTGCATTCTACATCTGAGGACATAGCGTTATTTCTCGTTAATGATGAAGAAGTTAAATCTGTCCATAAAATCATAGCACAAGACTATATCACAATACCGGCAAGAACAGAAATTTTACTTCCTGGATCCATAGCCGAAAATAGAAATTTCCGCTACGGCATCATAGAATATCCCAATAACTGTAATATCCCAAAAGGAGTACTAGTAGCCTCAACACTCGTCGACCTATCCAGAACGGTTATCCCGGTGAGAGTCGCCAATGTAACTGAAAAGTCGAGAGTTATTAAGAAAGGTGAAGTGGTTGCAACATGTACTCCAGTAACCAGCATTGAAAGAAAGAGTAACATCCCAGAATCCGTGTCCTCAGAGAGCATTACATCGGAGTTATTGCGTTATTGCAGAATGCACAATTAAACGATAAAGAGAAAAATGCTGCCGATCGCGTCATTAAAGATCTTCAAGTTGTTTTCTCCCGCTCGTCTTCTGACGTGGGTCGAACTAGTTTGACACAACATAGAATAGATACTGGCGATCATCCCCCAATCAAGCAACATCCAAGACGTCTACCGTTTGCTAAACAGGAAGAGGTGCGAACACTGTTAAAAGATATGGAAGAAGGCGATGTCATTGAGCCTTCAGCGAGTCCATGGGCATCTCCCATCGTTCTAGTCAGAAAGAAAGACGGCTCAACAAGATTTTGCGTTGACTATCGCCGGTTGAATGAGGTTACGAAGAAAGACAGTTACCCTCTTCCTAGAATTGATGACATTCTAGACACTCTTTCTGGAAGCAAGTGGTTCTCAACACTTGATTTAAAGAGTGGGTATTGGCAGGTAGAAATCCATCCTGAAGACCGAGAAAAAAGGACGGCATTTACTACGGGACAAGGACTTTGGCAGTTCAAAGTGATGCCGTTTGGACTGTGTAATGCGCCGGCAACATTCGAACGTCTTATGGAGACTGTTTTGAAAGGCCTTTCCTACGAAGCCTGTCTGATATACCTGGACGATATCATCATCGTCGGAAAGAGTTTTGAAGAGCATCTAGAAAATCTTAGAAAGGTTGCTTCAAAACTGAAAGAGGCCAATCTGAAGCTGACTCCCGCTAAATGCAAATTGTTTCGAAAGGAAGTGACTTACCTGGGACATGTCATCTCTGCAGAAGGTGTGCGCACGGATCCTGAAAAGGTATCAGCGGTTAAATCCTGGACGCGTCCCGAAAATGTCCATCAGCTGAGAAGCTTCCTAGGGCTTTGCACCTACTATAGGAGATTCGTGAAGAACTTTTCTTCCATCGCAAAGACCACTTCACAAGCTGACAGAGAGCAAGCAAAGATTCTTGTGGACAAAGGAATGCGAGGATGCATTTAACAACTTAAAGGAAGCTTTAACATCTGCTCCAATCCTGACGTATCCTCAGCTCGACAGACCATTTATTCTCGACACCGACGCGAGCAATAAAAGTGTCGGTGCTGTTTTGTCCCAAGAAATAGACGGCCAAGAACGTGTAGTAGCTTACTGGAGCAAGTGCCTGTCTAAACCGGAGAGGAATTACTGTGTCACAAGGAAAGAGTTACTCGCCATAGTCAAAGCTGTAGAACATTTCCATCATTATCTATACGGGGGAAAGAAAATTCCTCCTCCGCACGGAACCATGCCTCATTGGCCTGGCTTTTAAATTTCAAAAATCCTGAGGGTCAAATAGCCAGGTGGATACAGAGACTCCAAGAATATGACATCACTATCCGTCATCGTAAGGGATCATCACACGGAAAAACGCCGACGCCCTGTCTAGAAGACCTTGCCAAGGAAGCTGCGGATATTGTTCCAGGGTGGGGAAGCGAAATACGAGCTGCTGACTCCGGTCGCAAGACAAATTACAACATCAACATCGGCTGATCGAGACCCGTGGAGTGATGATGAAGTCAGGAAAGACCAGCTGGAAGACCGCGACATTAAACCCATACTTGATTTAATAGAGTCATCAAACAGAAAACCTACATGGCAGGACATTTCTATCTGTGAGTCCTACAACAAAAACAATACTGGGACTCTGGGATTCACTTCACATTCGAAACGGCGTCTTATACCGGAAATTCGAGTCGGATGATGGGAAGACGTTCCGATGGCAACTGATACTTCCAAGATCCCGGATTCCTGATGTCCTCAAAAGAACTACATAACAGCCCTACAGGAGGTCACTTTGGAATTATGAAGACCTTACAGAGAGTTCGTGAGCGCTTTTACTGGAATAATGCAAAGAATGACGTGCAAAAGTGGTGCCGATCTTGCGATGCCTGTGCAGGTCGGAAAGGACCGAGGAAACGCAGCCGAGGCAGACTGCAACGTTACAACGTAGGTGCGCCTTTTGAACGTATCGCCTTTGACATCCTGGGATCTCTGCCACGAACTGCT